ACTGGAAGGATATGGACAAGGAAATAATCTATTATACATGTATTGCACTTTACTTCAAAGAGCTTACAGCAATGAGTTGCACACCCATTACCATTCTTGGTAATTTGCCAAAGGTCGCCCCAGCAAACTTCAATGCTGAGAAGGAACAAGCATGTTCTGGTTCCTGGAGGTTATCAGTGAAGGATTTGAGGAAAACAGTACCCAAGAGCTCTGCCTGAGCATGCTATGTTTTTTTTCTTGGCTCATGAAGCCGATCACAAAGTTGGTTGTAAAATAAAAAAGGGAAACATGGAAAAAAACCCTGCCTTGCTACACCAGATTCCAAATAGTACTTCATCTTCTGCTACTACTGCTATGCCAGGAGAACCAGGATTCTTTTCTTATAATACTTATCTGAACACAACCACACCGAATCCAAGTTTATTAGGGAAGATATGCCTCTCCACTCCCATGGAGAAATTAATTTTCTCAGATTAAAGATGTTTACAAATTGTACTCTCGTTTGAAAAATGCCATTACATTAAATTGGACAAAACTTGTATCTTAAAGCTAGTTTCCATATTTATGAAGCAGATTCTCAAATTATTACTTTTGGCTGAGCCACAGAGAGCATTTCATAAAATACACAAAGTTCTGTCAGAAGCAGCAAGGGTACATTCAGTCCTTAGCAGTGCTGTTAACAAGCGAATCCAACACAACTATGGAAAGAGTACAAATTTATAAACAGACGCATTCTGATATTCGGAGACAAAGGCAACTAGATTGGTCTCTGACCTAAAGCAGAGGTGAATGTGCCAAAATTAATGAGCAAAGCAGGAAAATTCAGGAAGCTTTGAAGCTACATAACCAAAAACAGGTGGAGTTCAAAAAGACAAGTAGCAGCAGGAGACTGGCACTGTTGAGACATGAGTACGGCATAAACATGGGCAAGTCTGAACGATTCACAATATGCTCTAAGAGCAAGCCCCACTGAACTGAATGGAACTTACTTATAAGCAAGCATACATGAAAGTGGGCTGTGTCAAGACAATCTGAGCATGAAAGTAACTGGGCAGCAAATTAGTCTCAGCTAAAACCTACTGAAAATAAAGCAATGGAATTATAACCCATAGCAATGGATTTAAGTCTCACCAGTTTAAACGGGTGTACTTTCAACTGGTTTGAGCTTATTGTCTATAATAAAACCATCAATCTAAATCAATTTTCTCTCTTGCACCACACTACACAGTTCACCACATAGCCTATATGTTGTAGACAACATGCAGACAACATAAGAAGAACATGCTGCCAATCTGTTTCAACAGCAGGAAAGTGGGGTTTTTTTAAATCAAAACTTAACTGAAAAACCGCCCTAATGTTACAAAGTGGTTGGCCATCTACAGATGAGTCATATGTGGGAAGTCAAAGCAAACAGACTAACCACATATGTTCAAAAGTTTAATTTTAATATAAGCAGTTAAGAGAAGTTCACTGGACCACATTCTCAAGCATCAAGGACTACCCAGAGGATTACTACTACATTAAAAGCACAGAGGAATTATTAAATAGAATGCCAATTGTTTCTACCAAACACAGTGTGGTGTAGTGGCTAGACCGCTGGACTAGAATCTGGGAGATCCAGGTTCCAATCGCCACTCTTGTCATGGAAACTTGCTAACCTGGTGCCTGTCACACTCACTCAGCCTAATATATCCCACAGGGTTGTTGTGGGGATAAAATGGATGAGAGGACAATTACATAAGCTGCTTTGGGTCCCCATTGGTGAAAAAGGCGGGATACAAATTAAATAAATAAATATTTGGTCCATTATGGCAAAACAATGATGGAAAGCACTGGCAAACTGTAGAGCTGTCAGCTATGTCAAGCTGCCACTCTTAAAATGGGCTATTGCAATAGGAAGTTGCCTAATATTAAGCATGGGCGCCACTCTGCTGTCTCAGACAGAAGGAGGTCATTTCTACCAACCAACACCAGCAATCTTTTAACCAGAGATGCTAGGGGTTGAACAGAGGCCCTCTGCCTGCAAAGCATAACCTTTGCCAACTAAATCATGGCCCCTCCCCTTGAACCGTCAAGGCTACATGGTTCCATCATTTTATTTACCCCCCACATGAATCATTTCATGACGTCACACTCTGTATGTCATAACAGCAAAGGCTTGGGATCTCAGCAGTTGTGTACTTCCATACTGGGGGCCCAGGAAACTTTGGAATCATAAAACCAGTTTAAACCAGAAAGGGAGAACAGCGACTGAGGAGGGCACTTTTCTGAATCTCTTTTCTTCCAGAACAAGATAATTCACTGGCGTGGTGTTGTCTAAGGATGGAAGGGCTTAGTCGTTGACTAATCAGCCTAGTCTTCCTAAAAGGGGTGCCTACAAGTCTACTAGCTTCCTCCCTGGCAGCTGCAAGAGTGGTTGACATGTATGCTGCCTTCTAAACAGCTCAGACTCAAAGCTGTCAAGCAGGCAGAATCAAAAAGAGGCAACATATTAAGAACCCTCAAAAACAAAGCAAAGGACAGAAAGCCTTTTTTGTCCCCCAACAAACCTGTGAATGTCTGAATAGTTCATATAGGGACCCCAAGTACTAGTCACACGTCAATACAGCAAAATAAACAAGAAGAACCACAATCAAAGTGCCTAGAACGAAAAGCGCAAGGGCTCGGCTCTCCTTCGGGAGTGTGTGGAGCCCCTCACCTTGGCCTGTTGCGACACAGGGGCAGTTAAGCAAAAGACAACCAAACCCTCCCCAGGCGGTGTTGCCCCGGGCGAGCTGACTCATACCAGCCTAAACCCTGTACGTCTTTGAAGGTGCTCCTTAGCCCCCTGCCCTGTTTCCAGGCTTCCAGAAGCGCAACGTCGGGAAAGGGCAGGAAAGAGCAGATCCGTATCAAGGGCAATGGGGGTGTGGGGGTGTGTGCAGGAAGGAGAGCTTGAATGCCCGAGCGGGGAGGCTACAGTCACGGCAGTGAGTGTCAGTGCAGCCGCCCTGATAGTCTAGTGGCGGTGGGGAGGACCTTCGCCCCAAACGAAAGCGAGAGAGGAAAGGTGGGGAGAGGCTGTTAATGAAAACCCCGCCCCCCCTCCCCCCGCTTCCATCCAGCCGGTGGCAGAGCAGAGGCGGGCAGGCGAGCTCGGGCGTCCCCGCCTGGCGCTCCCCCGCGCTGCATGGCGCTGCAGCTCAGCCTGCCTTGCAAGAGGGAGCTCGAGTCCCCCGATCTGGCGCTCGCCGCGCCTCTCACTCCGCAGCGCGCACAGCGAGGCGGCGGCCGGCAGGAGCAGGCGAGCCGGGCGCGGACAGCGGGGCCGGACGCGGCGAGGAGGCCGGAGGGGGGAAGCGAGAGAGGAGGAAAGGACGAGAGGCGCCGACCCCGAGGGAGGCCATGGGGGACGGTCAGGCTGGCGGGGGAAGCGGGAAGCGCGATCGGGCGGGAAGCGGCCGTTGGGCGGAGGCGGGCGGGCGGGAGGCGCTTCGGGCCCGGCCTGGAGAGGAAGGAGGGCGGG